TTCACCCACAACAGTGAAAAAAGAAGAAACGTTCAGCCACACAAAGTTTGGCAAAATATATTAAAATACAAAAATTAACCACACTAATAATCAGGCAATAAACAGGGAGAGGGGTTCACCCAAAAGACAGCAGACTGGTCCTGTAGAGCAAACCTGCAAGAAGCAGATGAGAGAGAGATCAGTATACTGATAGTGTGTAAAATAGATGCTCATAAAAATATGAGATGGAGGCAGCAGGCAGTAAACCTACCTGTCACAAGCCAAGCAAGAGGTTATTCAGTCTGAAGAAACTCCTATGTGCCTGCTAAAGAGTGCAAGATCCGTTGGAGGGACACTGAGGCAGCGAAAGATGGCCGCCGCGATATCGCCGTTAGTAAAAAAGGCGGGAAAAAAACTGTGAAGGCAGACGCGAATGGGCGGGAGAAAGAGAAAGGCGGGAAGTCGGCAGCCGCGGGCTCGTGGGAAATGGAGTCCGCGGCTGAGGTGAATGGCGAGAATGGGCCGCGGCTCTACTTCTGAGGAGAGCCGCGGCCAGCTGATTGAAAAACCACAACGAATTAGCAGAGCGCTCCGTTTTTATGCAAACGGAGCGGTGGCGAATTTAAAGGGAAAACCCAGTTCATAAAATAAAAGCCAACAGGTTAAGGAAAAGGCTAAAATCACAAGTGCCAAAAAAAAAATGAAAGGGACAATACCAACTTATAAATATATAGATAATGAGAAAATATATAAATAATAAATCAAAGGGTATTAAATACTAACAAGTTTCCTGAGGTGAAGTAGAGCACAAAATACAAATAAAGACATATAAACCTAAATTAGAGAGGCAATGTAATTGGAGCAGACTCACCTGGGAGGCAAGCAGCAAAGAAAGAGGAAGTGGGAGGAGACTGATGACACTATATTGTAGTTGAGATATGTTATGATTGGTTGATTTTTCCATACAACATTGTTAACCATTTCTTTGCTGCTGGGAGTTACAGTAAAGAAAGATAAGCAAATATGAAGCCTCCTGTCTTGCCATAAAATTATTTTACATGCAAACTCGGATTTCTAGGTGAAACGCGTTTCGGTTGAAGATAAGCCCATTTCTACATTTACTTTTACTGAAACTGATTTAACTTTGTTTCTTTTGGTTTTACTGATTTGCTATTGCTTTTACAGTTTGTTTTTTAAATAATTCTGTCTAAATAAAACTGGAAATAATCACCATATGAAGAAGCTTTCTGGTAAATCCAAGGGGTTACGTCGCAAGAGACGCCTGCCTACCAAATAGACATATTACATTTGACATATTACATTATCTCTTTTTATTCAACATACTACTTTCACCATATAAATAAGCAAACTCCCAATGAAAGGAAAGCGGTCCCCTATAAAAGGACTCCAAAGCTCAATATTGAGCCACATTCCTGGCTCTTTGTTTGTGAAGTATAAATCTATTCTAAAATATTGATTGATGCAATATTCAAATGATAAAATTGCTGTTAATATTACCTTTGCAAAAGTGGAGACCTACTAACTAAAATAGGTATTGAAAAAGACCACCTTTTGAAGTTGTCTCCATACTTAGGCACACTGTGTATTCCCCCTACCAAGTTATCTTTTCTCAAAAAAAACTTGTAAAAACTGGAAATGTACTGTTTATGCATTACTGGATATTTGTGCAGTATTGATTTTTAATGTATGGCATATAACTGCATTTACATATGTATGTTTTGACACAGTTATGTATACTACTTTGCACTTGATAAACAATAAGACTATATATTGGGGGGGAAAAACACCAACTGAAAGTGCAAAATGTTTCATCAATTAATTGTACTATTTTTCAAAACCATGCTATGCAGGAGCTATGACTGCCCAAAGGTAAGAACATTATATGTAATGACACATAATGTTACATGATCCATGCAAATTGCAACACAACACTTCATATTACGATAATAAATACTTAATTTTGTTCACACATATAAACAGGGGCGTATTAGCCGCGAGGCAAACAAGGCATTTGCCTTGGGCGGCATTTTTCAGGGGGCGGCAAAAAACGCCGCCCCCCAAATGCCCATGGCAAATGCCTAGTTAGCCTTGCGGCTAACAGACATCCCGAGCGGGCGGGCGGCGCTGGCAGGCGGGCGGCCGGCGAGGGAGCACTTCCTATGAGCTGTCTGCTCAGCTCCCTCGCGCGCCGCAGAGTGAGGCTGGGAGCCGGAAGATGACGTCATATTCCGGCTCCCAGCCTCACTCTGCAGCCGGCGCGCGAGGGAGCTGAGCAGACAGCGCATAGGAAGTGCTCCCTCGCCAGCCGCCCGCCTGCCAGCGCCGCCCGCCCGACCTGCAGCCACCGGACCACCAGGGAGAGAGACCTCCCCCCAGCACTCCCAAAGGTAAGGAGGTTGGGGGGGGGGGATTTAAATTTTAAAAAAAAAGTTAATGTGTGTGTGTGTGTTTGTGTCTGACTGTGTTTGTGAGTGTGTGACTGTGTGTTTGTGTCTGACTGTGTCTGTGTATGTGTATGTGTATGACTGTGTGTGTGTGTTTGTGTCTGACTGTGTGTGTTTGTGTGTGACTGTTTGTGTCTGTGTATGTGTATGACTGTGTGTGTATGTGTCTGACTGTGTGTGAGTGTGTGTGTGTGTTTGTGACTGTGTGTGTGTGTCTGTGTGTGTCTGACTGTGTGTGTGTTTGTCTGTGTATGTGTCTGACTGTGTGTGTGTTTGTCTGTGTATGTGTCTGACTGTGTGTGTGTGTGTATGTGTCTGACTGTGTGTGTGTGTTTATTGTCAGGCTGTGTGTTGTGTCTGTTGTGTGTTTGTGGAGTGTGTCGTGTGTCTCTGACTTCTATACATGTGTATCTGACTGTGTGTGTGTGTGTGTTTGTGTCCTGACTGTGTTTGTGTAGCTGTGTATGTGTGTTTGTGTCTGACTGTGTGTGTCTGTCTGTGTGTCTGTCTGTGTGTGTGTTTGTGTCTGTGTATGTGTCTGACTGTGTCTGACTGTGTTTGTGAGTGTGTGACTGTGTGTTTGTGTCTGACTGTGTCTGTGTATGTGTATGACTGTGTGTGTGTGTTTGTGTCTGACTGTGTTTGTGTGTGTGTGTGTTTGTGACTGTGTGTGTTTGTCTGTGTGTATGTGTCTGACTGTGTGTGTGTTTGTGTGTGTGTGTATGTGTGTCTGACTGTGTGTGTGTGTTTGTGTGTGTATTTGTATCCTGTGTGTGTGTTTGTGTGTTTGTAGGTGTGTCGCATGTGTCTGACTATGCGTGTGTCTGACTATGCGTGTGTCTGACTATGTGTGTGTGTGTTTGTGTGTCTGACTGTGTGTTTGTCTGACTGTGTGTGTTTGTGTCTGTGTGTTTGTGGTGTGTGTGTTTGTGTCTGACTGTGTGTGTGTTTGTGTCTGACTGTGTGTGTGTGTTTGTGTGTCTGACTGTGTTTGTGTCTGACTGTGTGTGTGTTGTGTCTGACTGTGTTGTGTCTCTGACTGTGTGTGTGTTTGTGTATGTGTCTGACTGTGTGTGTGTGTGTGTGTCTGACTGTGTGTGTGTTTGTGTCTGACTGTGTGTGTGTATTTAGAAGGTGGGGCGGGGGGGAGGGTTGGGTAGGGAGGCGCGGGGGGAGTGGGGCGCCTGAGTTTTGTCCTGCCTAGGGCAGCACAAAACCAGGATACACCACTGCATATAAAGCCACTCCAGAACTTTTATCCATACCACACAAGCACAGAAACTAATATAAAAGGGGATTTGAAGCAAAGAAGGTATAAGAAATTGGTGTGCAACAAAAAAAATGTGAATTTCTGATTGTGTTACAAAAAAAGAAACGTAACAGACTTTAATACATTTCTGCTGAATATTTAACTCCAGTGTTCAGGTAATTTATTTGACTTAACCAATCATTTTTTTGGAATAAATAAATAAATAAATAACACTTCGGGGTAACTTTAAGTTAGCTATCGTGCTGCATGAGAATTCCAAATGTGACAGCTCCTCTTTAGAAACCTTTCAATTAGTGCATGTTTTAAATGGCTAAAGGATCTGCTCACCATTGTTAAATCACTGTGAATTAAAAACACTTTTTGAAAAATCTCTGTAGAAAGTACCTCAACAGAATAAATTCTCCAACTCATTTGCATTGCCAGATTGTCTTCTTGAGCCTAAAGTTTGTAAATTTGGTTTTAATTTTATCCCATTTCACTATTCAATAAATAAAGATCTAAAACGGATATTATTTTTGGTAAGTCAATTTCAAATAAAAAATGTTTCTGTAACTCCGTAGCATGCAGACTAAACAAATTGTTACATACAATTGTTTTACACGTTTATTGCTCCTTTTACTTAATGTGTAGTAAAACATTAGTGATCTATAAAAGTGCACATGATAATGAATAACACTAATTTTATCACATGACAGGAGGCTTCATATTTTGCATAATCTTCCTTAACTACTCCATAGCAGCAAAGACATATAGAGAAAAAAAGACATATAGAGAAAAAAAGGTAGAGAGTATAAGATACGCCTTCCACTGAGTCACTTCCTCTTTCTTTGCTGCTCCTTTAGAAGTGAGGTCACAATATTGTGTGTCTACACTTTGTTGGCTTGTCTTGTTATATTTACTTAATTTTACTTATTTACTTGATTTATTTTCTTTCATTTCTTACTGTGTATGTATTTATGTAGGGTTTTATCTGATAGTGGGGATGTTGATTTTGTTTTGTAAGGTATAGACTTGGGATGTCTGTATCCCTACTTTATCCCCTTTTATTCTCAATACTGATATATATATACTGCTTTCTGTCAGTTATTTGATTATCTTACAGTTTATGTCAGTACATGATACTGAGTTCCATATTAGAGGGTGATCCCCTCTCATAAACTCAACCAAATACTGATATTTATACTGCTTCCTGTCAGTTTTTTGTTTATCTTACAGATTATGTCAGTACATGATACTAATTTCATTATTAGAGGGTGAGCCCCTCTCATAAAATGTTCTCCTTGTGGCTACGCTCGCCACTCCATAGGCACTTTCCCACTGCCACAACCTCTCCTCAGGGAGAGCGTTTGGCGCTGTGGAGATTTCCTGCCTGTGAGGCTTCTGTGTTTGCGCTTTTCAAATATGTGCCCGCGTTCGCCTAGTCTCTCGTGGGTTTTTTCCGCAGCCACTTTGGACCGCGCCTTGCAAGATCCGTGGCGGCCATTTAACCCTTGCCGGTTTCTAGCAATTAAACAGGGGTGAGTCCCTGATTTATTAATGCACCCTAGCTTATGCTAGCTGTTGCTTTTACTGGAATACTTCTATACTAATGTTAGATGAGCCCCCCATCATATTGTTACATACCCTGGTACCTTACCTTGACGGAAAATATTGGCTATTTGATCTGTCTGTCACTGTTACAGCTCCTATGATTGTACTGTCTGTGCCACCATGCCTCCCAATGGGATATACTCCTGGAGGTTTTATTATTACTGAGTGAGCAAAGTTATTACAGATATATATATTAGAATTGGTGCAGAAATTGGTTTCTGTTTACCCTGCCTGCTACAGGGACATGTGAAGGTTAGTATTAACCTAGGGGTGGTTCCGCCGGTATACCTAGTAACCCGGCTTGGGGTGAGCCCCCATTTACCGCTGCCGAGGGGAGCTGTGCTTGCAGTCTCATTTTACCTGTGTGAACCCCTGCGTTGCCTCTGCATACATTACTATGGGTCGCATTCCTGACCACCGTAACCCCTAGCAGTCCCTGCTACCAATTTGCCTATTTACTCCCGAATCTATTGAGTGAGCGCCAAGTATACTGGGTGTTAATAATGGAGAACTCAGATGCCCATTAGACCTCCAGGTAATAATCAACGCGGCAGTTGCCACTTCTGTGGAGAAGGCCTCACCCAAGGCGTTCCAGCCACTCAAGACCCAACCAAAGCATCCGCTAAACGCCCCCAACAGAGAGACGTCTCGGAGGAGTCAGATTCCTCTTCCAAGGAGCAAGGCCACCCTACTAAACACCACTGGATAGGAGAAGGGTCACATTTTTTTGACACCATGGACCAACGCTGTTTGACCCAAGAATAGAGTTGAGCGGACACCTGGATGTTCAGGTCCGGCGGGTTCGGCCAAACTTTGAAAATAACTCCGGGTTCAGGCTTGAACTTGACCCCGAACCCGAACCTCATTGAAGTCAATGGGGACCCGAACTTTTGGGCACAAAAATGCCTCTAAAAAACTCCTGGAAAGGGCTAGAGGGCAAAAGGAAGTAAAATGGGGGTAAGAGTAGGACAAGTGCCCTGCAAACAAATGTGGATAGGGAAATCACTTAAAAATAACATGAAATATGCAGTCACTTAGTAGATAACTCCCTAATTCACACAGTATTAGGGAGCTATCTACCAAAAGGCTGAAAGACCTAAATTGGTCACCTAAATTGGTCTTTCAGCCACATTTACTAATACTAAGTAAAGAATACTTAGTATTAGTAAATTCAGCCCCTACTCGCTATACCGTGAGTAGGGGCATGTCTAGTAAACAGTGAGCAGCCATTGGCCATTTTTCCCAACTTTAGTAATTTAGTGACTTTTTAAAGTTCATCAAATGTGATAGGTTCATTGAGTGAAAGCGCCAGATTTGCTGGCAGTACTTGTTTCACCCGAGGACCGAAGTATGCCTGTATATGCTGACTGGATGGGGGAGTGTCTCTAAGATTGTATAAGTTAGTGTAAAATTCATGAAAGGCGTTGAGAATGTCAGTCATGAAATGGGATGTGGTCCCCTCCCTAGTTTTGATGAAGGAGATAAATGTAGTTTGTTTTCTTTGCTTGAGAGCATGGGCCAGTAGTCAACCATATTTACCTCCTTCTGCATAGTTTAGACCGTTGGTGTTTAAGAGTCTATGTTTAGTTTGGAGATTTAGTAAACTTTGGAGTTCAATGAGATCATCGTAGATGTGGAAATTGTGGTCTGTTTTGTGGGTTTCTTCCAGGGCTCTAATTTCTGTGAGTAGTAGTTCTGTTATGGCTTTTTGGGCTCGATTGTGTGTTGAAGCGAGTTTGATAAGCGTTCCTCTCAGAACACACATTTATGAGCTTCCCATATAATGGGAAATGATGTACCTATCGTGGAATTATTTTGGAAGTATTGTGTCTGGGCTTCAGTGATTTGTGTAGTGACCTCAGTATTGTTGAGAAGTAGGTTGCTAAGTTTCCATTGGGCTATTGTATCATTTAGGGAGGGGATGGAAACTGCAAGAGACAGAGGGGCGTGATCAGACCATGTAAAAAATAAAATAATTAAAATAATAAAAAATAAATAAATAATATATATATATATATATATATATATATGTAAATTCATTCTAACTGTATTTTAAAATTAATATATATATATATATATATTGATATCAAAATACATGTCGAATGAAATAATATATATATCTATATACATAAGTATATAAGAATAAAAATAATAAAAAAGATATATATATATATATATATATATATACACATATATATATATATATAGACAAACTTATATATATATAATAATTCTACGTATATATTTATGTAATAATTTTACATAATTAGGTCATTGTATTAATTATAATTTGCGGGACCTGCGTAACAACCCAGGCCGAAAGTCCAGGGAATTTAATTTGCTAGCTCTATATTTAACCCTGTAACTTTCCAAGACACCATAAAACCTGTACATGGGGGATACTGTTTTACTCAGAAGATTTCGCTGAACACAAATATTAGTGTTTCAAAACAGTAAAATGTATTACAATGATGATATCATCAGTGAAAATTACATTTATTGCATTTTTCACACACAAATGGCACTTACACGGACAATATAATTGTTGGTATACGTTTTACTGTTTTGAAACACTAATATTTGTGTTCAGCAAAGTCTGTCAAGTATAACAGTACCCCTCATGTACAGGTTTTATGGTGTTTTCAAAAGTTACAGAGTCAAATATAAGGCTTGCCTTTCAGTTTTTTCACATTGAAATTCGCCAGATTGCTTATATTGCCTTTGAGACTTTATGGTAACCCACAAATGAAAATTACCCCCATGATGGCATACCATTTGCAATAGTAGACAATCCAAGGTATTGCAAATGGGATATTTCCAGTCTTTTTTAGTAGCCACTTAGTCACAAACACTGGCCAAAATTGGCATTCAAATTAGTTTTTTGTATTTTTCACACACAAACAAATATTAGCACTAACTTTGGCCAGTGTTTGTAACCAAGTGGCTACTAAAAAAGACTGAACATACCCCATTTGCAATACTTTGGGTTGTCTATTATTGCAAATGGTATGCCATCATGGGCTACCACACGGTCTCAAAGGCAATGTAACCAATCTGGCGAATTTCAATGTGAAAAAAACTGAAAAATGTAACATGCTATATTTGACCCTGTAACTTCTCAAAACCCCATAAAACCTGTACATAGGGGTACAGTTTTACACTTGAGACATCGCTGAATACAAATATGTGTATTTTATTGCAGTAAAAGCAAACAGTATTATGACATTCACAGTTAAAATGTCACGTAGAACTAAATTATGTTTCATACCTAAATATCTGATGTTAAATGAAAGCCCTGTTTCCCTGAATAAAATGATATATAATAAGTGTGGGTGCACATAATATCAAAGAGGTGATTTACGCCCGAACAGACATATAGCGCAAATTCCAGGTTTTGTTTACGTTTTGTTTTGATAACAACGTGTACATTTGGCTCAGTCCTTAAGGGGTTAAACACATAAGATAGAACTATGAACAAGTTAAAACACAAACTATATGTGTTTCAGACTATACAGTAAATGTATAGTTTTTCAGGAAGCGAAACCGACGGTGTTGAACCCTTGGGTAATCTTGATACCCAGGGAACTTACGAGGTGAGACTATTAGGGGATCAAGTAATAAGAGGGTGATGATATTGTGTGTGAGGTGGTAAAAGGTGTGGGGATGGTGGGAGAGTTGTGGTCGAGTTTATGCAGCTTGATAAAGGTAATTAGGGGTAGGGGTAAAGGATGCTAGAAATGCGAGGGAGTGTTTAGCAATGTCAGGCCAGGTGAATTCCTAACAGCTGAAAATCATTTACAGTTTGTATTGTTATGGAGACCACTTAGTCATGGTTGAATAAACACTAACCTTGTGTAGGGGAAGTAAAGCCTTAGGTCATCCTAGAATGTGAGGTGGCGAATGTTAGGGTAGTAATGGTATGTACAGCCCTTTTTAATTTTGTTTATTTATTTTATTATTTTTTAATTGTATTTATTTATTTATTTATTACATTGCGTTCCTGCAGTGGAGCCCTTGTCTTGACCAGGACTTTCCTACGCTGGATCATCAAGAGTAGAAATCAGGAACAAGATACTGCCAAGTAAATAGCCTACCTCCTCCCCAGTAACTGGACGACACGCAGTTCTGGGAGTACAACTGAAATTTATTTTGACACACACAGCTTTTATGCACGGTCCCGTAGCATGGGGTTTTCACATCAAGAACACAGGGGTTTCTTCCCAAGAACATTTGTGTTTGAGAGATAATTGAGCTCAACTTAGGATAACTCAATTATCTGTTAAATGCAGAAACTTACATCCATTTTTAAAATACCCCCAAAATACACGAATAGAATACAGGAACCCCACAAAAAGCATAATCCCGAATAGCCCCAATCTGAGCGCAAAACATATCCAAAAAGTGCTCAGATCGGTTTGGTAGAATGAAAGTTCTGTTTGAATAAAGTTTTGATAAGGAGTAGCTGAGCCAGGAAACTAGAAAACAGGATAAATGAGAAAATGAGCCGAGTTAGGATACCAGAAAGCAGAAAAGTCAATATAATACAAGCCAAGTCAAATACCAAAATACACAGACAGAAATCAATATAGCACAAGAGGGAACAACCCGTGAACCACAATAGAGCACTGAAGAAAAGCAAAAGGCACTCTTTTATAATGGAGCATCTATTGTTTGAAATCCAAGCCCCCAAAATGTCAGGGAGCGTGGAATATTTAGAATTTTATGACGTTGGCGTGCATGCACCGCATGCACCGCAAGGGGGCATGCGTGGAGCGGCCGGCGGTCGACATGCCGTGCCATCGCTGAGAGGAGTCAGCACCTGGAGCATCTTCTTACGGGTCCACGGGATTAAGGTAAGGTATCATGACACTTAGTACGCCTCCAAGATGGCCATCACATTT